ACTCGATTGTTGCATTGGGAGTTGCGCAGACAACCTAACGGTCCCAATTATAGGTAATTCAAGAGGAAGGAGTCGATAAGTGACTTGGAGAGGTTCAATAAACGCTATTAGCGTTCGTCTGAGTATGTGCACCAGTTAGGGCCAAAAACAGCAGCCAGAAGATCACACGTAGCATTTCATGAAGTGCTTTGAGTCAAATGGTTCCCAGAAGGACACATCTACTGATGAATCCATGATTCATCTCAGATGAAGCAGGCCCATAACTTTTGAAGATTACGGCAATCCATACAGGTCAGTGATAGACGACAGGGAGTAGGATTGAAAATGTTACTTGCATACTCAACTCTAACGAAAATGAAATGGTTTCATGCCGAATTCAGGTAGACTTACATCTTCGAATGAAGAATGGAGCTGATTTACTTTCGGAATATGGTCGGTTGGACGATGTTCGACATAAAGTTGCCGTCCCCAATTCGTTGCATTGCGTTTTCTTCACTCTTATCCTGTAACTGGTAATTTCTTCATAATCTTGCTTATGATTGAGTATAATTTGAAGAATGTGCTTCTGGTCGAAAATCCTTGCGGTTTTATGACCAGTGCTTTCAGTAATGGCGAAATCTGCCAAACTTTGCATCATAAGCGAACATGCCCGTGAATTTAACCAATGCACTCCGGCTGTTTCATCTGTGCTGGGCTCAGAAATCAGCAGCCGCACAGAGCACAGAGTGCTCAAGCAAGTACGGAAAACTGAGCAAGCGAGAGATGAACATAAAATCGGCACGGCCAAGCAAGGCATTGTGGGGCTAAGTGAAATATTTTTAGATGAATGGTACAATCAGACGCCAGGAGCGTGCGTGTGGCTAATCGTGACAGCGAAAAATCATCAATCAATGGGAAGTCAACAAAGGCACGTACGTGTGAGAATGTCTGATTATGTAAGTGACTACTTGAACTGACACAACAAAGGGGAATCTTGTTGTAGGTAGTCAAACTGGCTGTTAGTTCACTGTGGTAAACGTCGTGTGCTGATGCAATTTGGGCTGGAAAACTGTGATTCATGTGTGAAAAGTCCGACACTCTTCGACTTGGCCTCAGCTCAGCTGGTAGAGCACAAACACGGGTACCAAGAATGGGTGACAATCATGTGTGGGATTGAATTCCACCGGGGTCAACGTCTTCTAATATTTGGGTCACTTCAAAACTTTCACTCTCGTTTTGCGGGCGAACATACTTGGCTCACTTGTCCTCAATTAAGTTCCTCTGGATCGATGTCCAAAAAAATTCTAGGATTTATTATTTTCATAGAACTGGAACGAAAAGCCCGAATCCTATGTAATGGAAAATCCACTTGTATTTTCCACAGATGACAGAAATCTGGTGAATTTCACAAGCTGCTTCCAGTTCGCGCCCACTAGTGCACTGAACAAATACATCCCTGAAAAAGGTTATTAGCATATCTTCTAGTGTGTCTCTTCTCATTCAAATTTAGGGCTGTTTTGTGACACTTATGCCCCTAAAATCCTGATTGCAAATACATATTTAAGGCCCAGTTCTGAACACTTTCTGAAACCAGATTTTCCCTTGCCCTTCTAATTTCAGACCTGTCTGAGCGCAGCTAATTAACACGGACAAAATGCATTATCACATGGCTCCTGATGTGAATAGGTGCACGGATATCTTTGTTCTGACTTCGGTCCATGACCAAAATACATTGTTGCTATCTCCAGTAATCGGTTAAACTTGCTACGTTGCTACCTATGCGTGATATTGACAAAGAATGACGCAGATGCGCGGGGCAAGCCCTGCTTTCCAGAGTTCCTGTTTCGCAGTAATGCTGCGGAGTTACGTAAGCTTTGTGACCATCGTCGACCATGGCTAACTGAATCACGTATGCCTGATGATCAGATCACCAATGCCGAATGTCATCCACGTTTTACCTATAGTGTGGTCTTCGCTTTTGCAGGAAAGATTGTTCAGTTTCCAGAGTGAGTAGATACTGCGTATCGGAATAACGCTACGAGTTTCTAATACATTGAGAGCACTCAATGAAGCTTCAACCCAGAATAGAAAGCCAACCACGAAATGGGACACGAAACAGTAGAGTCAAAATAAAACTGCCTAAGCAGAATGTAAAAGTACAAGGAATTGGTAATACGGATGAACGCACAAGGTTGCAGATCATTAACACTCAGTCCAGTTGAAAACGTTCATTTAAAAAGACCTCCTTTGGGTCATGCTTCTACATTCGGAGATTTTACTTCCCGGATTTTGGGTAAGGTCGCTTCTACTCTTGGTGAAACATCTGCCTCTGGAAGGCAACTTTACGCCCCCCCCCCTCCCCCAGAAAATGAGCTTGTTCGCTATCGTGCGAATACTAGATCATCCTTAGTTCTACGTTGTCCAATAAATCTAGGATGGCGCACATCAACATGCGCAGTGCCGAAGGCTATTTCGTATATCGGTACTATCTGTTAGAAGTCCTCTTTATTCGCATGAAAGTTTGACATTTGATGTTGGGGTGCGAGTTGCACTAAAACACTAAATGCTTAAAGAGCTAACAGTCACGTGATTCACGAGACACACTGTGGTGGGCCACAGAAGAAAATTTGGGCAAAGAAAATGCACTTATCGAGGCGCCTACTAATGCGCGACCTACTGCACGGTTTTCTCCTATTATAGGTTGGGTTAACTCGTAAATAAGACTGAATTTCCGACCGGTAAGCAGCAACTAAATAATCTACGGAATAAGCCCATCATAGTAATCAGAACACGAGTTGTAGGTAAACATATGTTTTCGGTGATTTCATTCTCAAGGCATTACATCCACATTTATATGAAAATGAATTATTAGGAAGAGTTGGGAAAAGTCTCACCATGTCCGTATGGAGAATTAAGGGTGAGGAAGGATGGAAACCCTTGTGAGTGACCAGATTATGTAACCGGTGCTAATTAGCTTACGTCACCGCTGCGCCCTGTTGTATAAAACAGTTGAGTATTGGCCATGGGAGTTGTAGTGCTTGGACTAATTTTCGTAGCGCGCAAAGCTCAGGCTTCAGGAGGCGGATGATAATTGCCTTTACAGTTGCTAGTATCGGAGCCTAATTGATTTTGACACGTGTTTTGGGACCCGGTAGACGACTTTGAAGGCGGACTGGATGTCGACTGAATGCCCAGTTTCCAACAGGTGCGAGACGATTGAACTTGATACTACTCCGTTGCTTCCGTGTCTGTGCCATAGTGGGTGATGCTCCTTAATCCCTGTACTATCTCGTCCCTGAATGCATGCTATGATTTCCATCGTTCAGTCAGTCAATCAATCAGCCCGCTGTATTTTTCTGCTGTTATTATTTTATTTTTCTCCAAAAGACGATCAATCATGCATATCGACCAAGATACACTTGACATCCAGAGCCCTACAAGATGTTTGAAAATCAGTTCAGTAATTTAACACCAAGAAGTATACGACAAGCTTTTACAAGCTTGGCATGGGATGTATTCGTCACCGTTTTTTCGGAGCAATGGCCTAGTGGAAGCTACAAGAGATCCCGGGTGGTAAACTCTCTTTTAGGAATCAGGTATCGCACATAGGAGAATTATGCATAGTCGGGCCAAAGTATGACTCTTGAACTCTCTGTTTCACGGCACATTGTTGATGAACTGAGCTGATCATGCAAGTTTAAATTAAGATGTTTCGGTGAAAACCAGCGGAACTTTTCACAGCGCACTGATTTCATCCGCTAACATCACTAATCCTCTGCAAAGGGAATAGGGGTAAAGTAGATGAGAACATAGGTCTTCATACACTACTTTGATAGTGTTGTGTCTGGTTAGGGTCTCGCACACTACGCGGACAACCGATCAATATTCCTCTCATGAATGGACATACTCTCAATTTGCCTTGATCGTTAACCATGCTTTAGCGCCAGCAGTGTTGACCTATCGATTTTGCTGTGTACTGATTGGTCTTCCTCTGCTGCGCGTGACGGCACAAGTAGTTTATTTCTTTATGCCAACTCACTTGCTTGTTTGTCGCTTAGTCGCCGGCTACGGCCGGGTTTTGTGTTTACAATGGCATAGATAAATGCAACGCCACCATTACGTGTTCTGCTACCGATTGTGGACACAACAGATAGAACTTCAAAGATGCACGGTAAATGACGGCTCAAACTTTCTTCATGACTTTCGTACATTGGTGGTATTTGCTGAGGGTTCAGTTAAATAGGCACGAGTAAGAACGTGACTGTGACAACAATGCATTGTTACAATAAGCTTGTACAAATTTCTGTTTGAACATTTTTGGGATCTGTTAATTTCCCTAAAGGAACAGCTACCTGTACGTGTGATAAAACAGCTGATTGTTATCACGGTTCTGTCGATTCCCTCTGATCCATTTTGGTCGCTCAAGGAAAACAGTACAACTGTGAAAGCCGTAAAGATAACTCATTTTACGACAACGTAAATATTTTCCAAACAGTTGTTCACATCGGGGTAGTATTAGATAGTGGCGTTCTAAAAACCTGACTCAGTGTCAGCGGAGATAAATCACAAAACTGTTCATCTCATCTGCCCGCTTTTATTTGGTGGTGGTTGGAACTGAAAACCCGTATGAAGTTTTGATCGTCGGAATGGAATTCAAGCGGTCGATTTCCCTAATTCAGCGAAACAAAATTAATGATTACGGAGTCAAAAATGTGTTCATGCAATTTATTTGTCAGACTTATTTGACGTTTTCCTAACATTAGCCACTTGCGCTTCACTTGAAAGCCGATCTGCGTATGCACCCAAACCGCCCACACAAAACACTAATTAGCAAGTTTCGCATTGGTCCGTTCCGCAATATAACACTTGATCACGGGGGCAGCAGGCTGGCTTATCAGCCAATCCTCTTGCGACTCTATAGACCAATAGTTTTCAAGTGAACTGTTACGTCTCACCAGCTGTCTATTGGCCATCGGTTGCCGGTTATAAATGCATGAATCACCGGATTCTCTGGATGTACGATGACCACATGTAGGGCCCCCCGGTCGGCAGCTCCTGAGCTCAGGGAACGATTGTCACTGGACCTTACACCACTTAGTCTCATTCCTACGCGGACTGGATATGCTTCTGCCTGGGGCAACTGCCCGTTAAGCGCGGGCCCTATTCCGTCGACTGCCCCGGGATGGACAGATCCATTTGTCTTTGATGATTACGAACTTAACCAGCCGCCACAGAAGCGAGCACGAACCGATCGGGTAGCGGAGGATTCGAGGTCTACTGAAGTTAAATCGAAAGTAGGAACACACAGACCAACGGAACCACCACTGATCACTTGTGATGAACTTGCGGATGTGCTGTGCATATCCCCTAAATGTAAGCCGGGACAATGTACTCTTGCCCCCATTGTATTGGATCTGCGCAGTTTGCCTACTCAAATGTTTTTCCGAATCAAGGCTGCTGTCGGAATGCCTTGTGAATCTCGTGTCAAAATGCGTCTTGTTTTACCTCATTTGGATGCATATTTGCACCAAGAAGTTCTAGACATTTGTTCGCGCTGCCAAGACACACTGTGTGGAAAGAAACGACTCGTGGTACTTTACACGGAGACCGGTTTCGAGCACAGTCCCGTTTGGGAAGGTCTTATTTTACATCTGACACAGAACTATATGGTTGATGTGAAACTTCTTAAAGGTGAGTATCGTGTAAAAACTGACTATCTAAATAATTTCGATATATGTTATAACTAGAGTTAATCAGTCACAAGCGGTACTGAGGAGTGTTGATAGTATCTTCATGACCCGAGTAAGGAGTCTATACGTTTGTTGGTGCATATATATATATATATATATATATATATATATATATATATATATATATATATATATACGAAGAAAGAGAGAGGATACATTCTACTTTGTGGATGCATCCGCAAGAAAAGACTTTGATTGAACAGCTTCGCGTAAAACGACAAATCTTGATCTGAAATGAAAATGGATAGACAGATAGATAGGTAGATAGATTAGATAGATAGGTAGGTAGATAGATAGACAGATAGATAGGTTATAACTTGGTTATGTAGGTCACAGCATTTTGTTTTGGAGGCACTGATCGGATAAAACAAGAATAATGTAGGCAGAGTTGTTGCTGGCCCTCCACTTCGTGTGCTCTCAATGAACAGTCAATGCATATTATATACCGCGTGATAAAATATAGGACCCCCTTCATTTTTCCTCATATTTTCGTCCATGGATTCTCTTACAAATCCATACCCGGTCGGAACGACCGAATACCCATTATGATGTTTAGTACAAAATAAATTGTTGTGAGCGAATCAGAATTTGCCGTAAAAGCGGGTGACAAATTTATAGGACTCATCATCTGGAATTCGATAATTACTAATTAAAGTCGTGTGCACCCGCCATTATGATTTTGGACCTTCTCGGCGTACTTCTCACAAGAACTGTGGTTGTCCCTTGGCCAAAATTCACCCATTCTCGGCTAAGGGCGGTTACCATTTCACGGTCTGACCGGTAATCCATAGAATCCATGTGCACCTGGCGAACAAGTACGACCCGTATGTTCTCAATCGGATTGAGATCTTGGCTGCAGGTTGGCCACCACATGACCTTGATCCTACGGAACAAGAGCCAACATCATGTGGTGTAAGAGGAATGAACAGAAGCGTTATCATGTTGGAATAAAGCGTTATCTTGTGATGTGATCACTAGTGGAAGCATAAACTGTTCCAGTGTACGGATAAACGCAACGGAACCGTGTATGCCCTCGAGTTCAACTAGCTCAGTTTGGCGGCTAGCTGAGAAGGCCCCCAAACTGCCATTGAACTGTTTTCGTTGTTTATTTGACTGAAAATTAATTCTTCCTCCGTTATATCGTTCCAGTATTAATTCCGAGCAATCAGTCCATCCAAATTATTTATTTCAGCCATTCAAGAAATTTCCTCGCTTGTTTTTCCACGCTAGTTGCGTTTCAGTCCATGAAGAACGTTGTTTTTTATGTGGTGATGTGAGAGCAGAGTCCTTTCATTTTTTTAATTTTTGTATTTACTCCACGGCATAGATTTGAGTGTTCTTTCTAACGTTCGTTTCGATGCACTGATTCCGATCGAAGCTTTCAACGTTGACAAAGAGTGCGTTATTGAGTGCTAGACGAATTGTTCTACCTTCTCACGAGGTCCTAAGATTTTTGGACAACTTATTCGATTTTTAGCCGAGCATTGCTCGTTACATTCCAGATACCGTCGTACGAAGTTTCTGTATCTCATATAAACTGAATCCCATTTGGTAGAAAGTGGATATTTCGCCCTTTTTGAAATCCGTTTGTTTTACTTCCGCTTGGCATAACGGACAATATTCGTCATGAATTCCGTAGGGTGTATCCGGGAGACCACCACCAAAGAAGGTCACCTAGCTCACTAAGATGCATCACGTGCTCCAGTGCACATGAATCACGTGATTCCGGTTCTCATGCATTTGTCAGCCGCCAGATCCAAAGACGGAATTAATCAGTTAGTTGCCAGTTTCAATGGTCCGTCTGGTTCCGCGAAATTTTCCATGGCGTAACTCTTCGGATTAGGGGGTTCCATACTTTTTTCACCTTCACTATTTTACTTTTCCTGCTTTCTTAATATAGTTTCGTTCTGAATGTTGGTATGTCGTACAGTGTTTTGCATTTGGTCATTCTAACCGGATAAGGTTGCCTTAGAGACTACAAAAGCGGAAGACTGAAGGTGGTTCTATACATTTGTTGAACCCTTTATATTGTGACATAAAGCTTCCTACATCGAGAAGTTATCACTGAGAGTGTTAAAGTTTAGGAATTACAAAACATCCACTTGCTTTTCTGGTAATGCTGTATTTGCACGAAAGTGCAGTAGGAGCTGGTATTCCCCATTGCTTCAAAAGCCCACTGCACATCCGGGGATAGCCCGCAGTCAGACCGTGAGACTTAGGGTGGTGGACCACATCAGGTCCGAGTAGGTCAAGTGTGGTGACGAACCGGACGACATTGGATTACTGTCCATTATCAAAGAGAATAGCGATTCAGTATCTGGGTGAATACAGTGTGGATGGGCAAGAGGGTAGGTGGCTGTGAAAGAATAGTGTGAGGTCTGAAACCACCAAAATGGTAATGTTCTACGACGGAAACTCAAGTTTATCGGGCTGTGCTCACGAATTATGCTAGAAAAATATCATTCGTTCCCAACTTACTTTAAACCAAAAGTACATGAAAGTCGGTGAGTACAATTGCGGTGTCTTACATGTCCTGTTGATATAATTCAGTGCTACTGAAGTAACGGCGAGTCTCGTGTATTTTTTTCCCGTTGTTTTGCTTTGAGCAGGCTCTCAACCGCTGCGGTGTGTCGACGCCCTTGTCTAGAGAATACTTCGTCGCCTTCGAATTGCAGATGTGTGAAGACGTTTTTTGTCGTGGCATACATCTTAATATGGGATTGATGGCAAAGCTCTAATATTTGGTGAATGTCAGAGTACATGCTTGCGCAAGGGTAACTTGCAACCTGAGACTTGGAGTGGTGAATCACATAAGGTTCCATTAGGTTAAATGTAGTCATAAGCCGGGTGCCTATGGACTACTTTCTGTCCCTCAAAAGGCTCTTTGGTGAAGAAATTGGAGCCTCTGACCTCCAGTGTGGTGGGTAGAAGCTGCAGACCAATCGTTAACCACCGGCTTATCTGCCAGTGTATTTACCAGTCTCTTTCTTTTGGGTACACAACTGGGTAATAACGGTAATGTTAGACTATGTGGTTTCCTGGCAGTTCTCTGTGAACACTCAGAAGGTTTCACGATAATTTTTACGGGAATTTTATGAGACCATGATTCTGCTTGTAGATTGCCCTCACTTGAATTGATGCTTGAAGTAACGCGTTGATATAAAGCCACTCTCATCATCTCAAGGAAAAGTCCCTGTGAAGTGACTTTGGGGGAGAAATCAGCAACAAAGTGGCACATCATAGAATGCAGCTCGATTGAATTCATTACCGGCGGACTTTCGAATTGATTGTGTTTATTATTTTCCAAAGGCCTCACTATACCCATCTGAGCTCCCCGACCGAACAGTTGTCACATGTTTATAGAGACATCCTTACCTCGGGAAGTTGCTGAGCCTTTCCGCCAAGTCCTCCATCGACATCGGCGCGGCGATGATTGCATGAAAAAAGTTGTTGCTAAATGAATCTTCTGTAATTTTCGGTCCCAATTCACTTCAAAAAGAAAAATGTGCTATTGTGGAGTATATCTGGTTGAATAACCCGATTCTAAAGGCTCAGAATACCGCCCCCCCCCACCTACCGCATGATCGCAGTGGGTTCCGGTGTTGTATTTAGTTTCTCGCAAACAATTATGATATGACTCAGTTTCTTCATACAGGCAAAGCAGCTGCTCATCGCCAGTGATGGGGATAAGCATGTCCCGCACCTGCATGTCCAGCTCCGCGCTTCTAGACGTCTGTCGTTGAAGGTATCCGAAGGTGTTTATTTGTACATTTGCTCGAATCGGATAGGAGCACCGTATCAATAATTTTGAAGCGGAAAGAGGTTAAATGTTAAGTAAAAGTGACCAATTCGACACGGAAAATAAGTATGAAAACTCTAACCGGTGTCTTTGGCTACTTCGGACATAATAAGCTTCCCGTCTGTGGATCAGCGTATTCATCCACTGTTAATGGCTTTGTACTGGGAATGAATAGTCTCACAGTAACTGTAGAGTGGTGGATTTAGTTCTTTTCCGTGGAGGTTGCACGTGTTCGATTTCGCAAGAAAGTACAAAGAAGGAAGACATGGCGGGCCGGGACTCAGCAAATGCACAAACAAGCATCGGTACTTACATCGATGAAGGTGAGAGTGCTGATCTATGTCTGAGCGTTACAGTAACCTCCAGGAATAAGTGGTACATGCTGAACTATACGTGGCAGCTTTGTTACAGTTTTACCAACTACTATGAACAACACTCCAAGTTGTCAATTGATATAAGTGAGTCCTTGAGTTGAGCTAATAAGAGTACCAATAGTCCCTCTGCGTTCTCCATGATTATCTCTGAGGTGATTGATATTATTAAGTAAGATGGAATGAAAAGACGCGACAAAGGATTGGACAGTTGTTCAAGGATCAGCGTCAGTATAATTGGCTACAATATTTTGGAGTCTGTTCCATTCGGTGTGATACTAGATTGGACGGGTTTATGATCAAGTGGTCTGCTTAAGTATTTTGAATAGTGAATGGAAGTATCTCCAGCCATACACCTTTTCTTTGACCCATGAACGTTTCTTCTATGAGGTTTACAGAATTTTATTATTGCAATACCTTTAGCGAATAATTTTTTCATTCCAGTGACGCATCGGTGCAATATAGAAGTAGTCTTGACGATGGTGAGTAGATGTGAGTAGTGTTCTCAGTCTCCAAACATTACGGTAACAGTGGAGTTTAATTCCACTAGAAAATAAGATAATTCATTGCTCACATGGTAGACACTACATTTTAAAGTACCGAAGCTTTGCCGTACTCCTCGCTTGCTTGAATGTCGCACTTCCTTCAACTTTTGCAGGAGGGCGCATGCCAGAATGAAAATAGCCGCATGAGAACCCACTCCAAATTGGGTGATCGAGTAACACAACAGCCCGCGACATCCGTTTTGCTGATATTTGTTCTCTTTAGGGG